AAAAAAAAGAAAGAAAGAAAATCAAGCATGTAAGGAGGAGCAGGGCCTGGCTAGTTTGTGAGGGGAGTCTAAGTACTCTCTTACCCCCTGAAGACAGAGGCTTTGCTTATCCGGAATCCTCGGTCTCACTCACCCAACACTCACGCGCACAGGAGCTGGAGACGCAGGGGTTAGGCATTTGCAAAATGCTTGGAGTTTCTGGCACAGATAGAATCATGCTTGGTCTTTAAAAATATTAATCACTTTCTCCTTTTGTAAACAAAATCATAAATGCTTATGTAGGGCACATCAGTACTATACTAAGGAGGAAAATAAAACTCTCAAAGATTGTCTTACAGAGATAATCACTGTTAACACTTCACAATACGGAGCTCTGGTGGTCTACTGGGTAAGGAACATACAACCTCTGGAAAGCCACAGGAGGGTCAGTTATGAGTCCATTCCGACTCAATGGCACATAACGACAACAACAACTGCTTTATACTATTGCCATCTACTCTTTTACGTAATTAGGATCTTATTCAATGTATGGGTTTTGCATCTTTCTTTTTATACCATGTCATAAACATTTTTCAGTATCATAAAAATTCTTTGAAAGCATTACTTTTTATAACTGCGTAATAGTCTCTTGTAAGGATACACCATAATTTATTCTAGGACATTATGTTTAGCTTTGGTTTTGATTGCTAATTAGCATCAAACAGGTCTGAAGTCTAGAGGCTTTTTTAAAAAAAAAAATTATGTCTAGTGAAAGTGCAGCCAGGGTGCTCTTTGGAACAAGGATGATGCAAGATGGGCATGTTTTTAGGAGGACCCAGTGTTCAGAAAAAGATAGTCATGCTTGGAAAGGTGGAGGGTCAGTGAAAGAAAGGAAGAGCCTCGATGGGATGGATTGACAGAGACTGTAGCAATAGGCTCAAGTGTATCAGAATGGTGAGGATGGTGCAGGACAAGGCAGCGTTCAGATCCATCACTCATAGGGTTGCAATAAGTTGTAGTCAACTCAATGACACCTAACAACAACAATGGTGCTTTAAGGAACACTGGTGGGGTCATGCATGACGCATCAGGCTGCTAACTGCAAGGTCAGAAGTTTGAATCCACCAGTCACTCCTTGGGAGAAAGATGGGCAATATCCTCTTGATATTTACAGCCTCAGAAACCCAGTAGAAGGTCCCTATGAGTCACCATTGACTCAAAGGCAGTGGGTAATAACAATACTTTAAAGAAGCCCTGGCTGGGGGAGCTCTGGTGGCCTAGTGGTAAGGA